CCTGGGCTGAGATGATGAGGAGTAATGAGTACCATAAAGGAAGAGGTCTCCTCCATTATAGCTGCTGCGCTGTGCTCATCGGGTCTTTGTGTACAGAAATAGCCGCAGCCCTGGGCTATGAGCGTCCCGCAGAACGTTCTGTAAAAGTTCCTGCAAGCTGTCTTAAAGGAAATCATCAAGACTCGGTTGTCCTTTCCCCCCCATGTCTAGAATACTCATGCTCATAAGGACCTCTGCTCTGAGCAACACTGGGGGTGCAGGCCTGTACTCCAAGCTACTCTGAAGTCTGAATGTTCAAGACCTCCCTGAGCTACACAGTGAGTTCAAGGCCAGTTTGGACCACTCAGTGTGACCTTGTCTCAAGAAATAGAAAGCAAAAAGAGGATTGAGGATATTGCTACCTGGGAGAGCCATTGCTTAGCTTGAGCAACATACTAAGGTCAAGGGCAGGAGGGTGGCCTGCAATTGGAGATTTACCTGAAATTTATTTGTTGAATTACAGAGTAACTTAGAAGTCGAAGTGTCTATTAAAAAGAAAACATAACCTCATGAAAACCGCAGCAACTGCCCTGGAAGCTTGGGCCTTTTCTTCCCGGAGGAGGGTGTTTATTAAGCACCTAGCACAAGCAGGCAGGTGACTGTGAGGATGGGGGTACACCACTTCCCCACTGAGGACAACTGGGTTGAGGGGTACTGAGCACGACAGGACCGGTAGGTATCTGGTGGAATAAGCGCATGAACTCACATAGGACTCACTTCAATGTCTCTGTGGCTGGCTTCCGCAGCTTCATCTGGAGTGTGCCAGTTAAATCTCCCATCAGAAATGTTTTCCCTCACCCCTTGACCTTCTCAGATCATAGGATATCAGAGGAAGCCTGGGAAGCAGGCTCTCCCCCACAGGACCCCCACTACACAGATGAGGACAGAGAAGTCCAGAGATGAGAAGGGACCGCTTAAAGTCACTCAAGCTGGTAAACTGCGGGGCCAGGAATAAAGTCGTATTTTATGTCTTTGAGGCAGCCCCTCCGCTTCCTCTCTAGTATGATAGTTCTAGAACTCTCTTCCTGCTGTCCTCCTTTGCTTAATAACATGTTGGAACATCCAAAGGCTGACAGCATTTGGGAAGCTCTTATAACAGCGGGGTATGTGCACCAGAAGTCACGGACAAAGTCATTCCCTAGTTCCTTGCTGTGCCCCCGAAGTATATCATCAGAGCGCATGCCCTTGCCACAGACTGCTCAGCAGCATGTCCTGAAGGAAGCTGAAGTCACAGGACAATGTACTGATCATCAACATCACTAAAAGGATGAGCCTTGGAACTCTGAACAGAGGGAGCTAGTGCCTATATGTGGCTATTCCAATTCAGTTCACATGGCTACCAAAGACCTCTGCTACTTATGAGAATATGAGAGTCCGATATTTGTGATGCCATGTTCGTGTCCACAGTGATCATATGAGGTAGACAAAACAGGCTAGCAAACAACTGATTGGATATATATATATATATATATATATATATATATATATATATATATATATAAAACCTGCTGGTTAGAATAGATAGGCATTGGATAAATCACGTATAAACTGAGCACATGTCATGCCCTGGGAACCAATAAGAGACACAAAGAAGAAATAGAAGAAATAACCCCTGCCCTCTAAGTGTCTGCATTCTGACCCAAAAACAATCAAAATCCATACGTATAATTCCTTAAGTGAATGGCAGACAGAACTTCCCAGGGGAGAGATTTAGCCATGGTCAATTTTGTTATTTGATATTCTGCGATCTGAAAAGGCCAAGGGGAGAGGAAAGGCATTTCTAACGTCAACCACCAGTGAAACTATTTGTGTGTGGAAGTAAAACACAAAGACATTAAGGTGAGTTGGATGCTGGTCTCAGGTGTTTATTCAGCCAGGTACCAGTCCTGTCAATCACACTCAGTCCCCCACAGCTCAGTTATCTACCACATCTTCCTTTAGGCCCTTGAAATATTCTCTAGGAGGGATGGGAGACAGGCGGAGACCAGCGGATAGCAGGAGAACACCCGAGGGACTATTTAGAGCAAGCAGGAGAGAAAGAAGATAGCCAGCCATGGTACATGAAACAGAAAGTGCATGTAACATCTCTAACATGTTGCCTAGAAAAACAAAACAAACGAAACAAAACCCACTTTCTTCCTCAGAGGACTTAAGGCTTATGAGTGTATCTTAAAGGTGTCTTGAGACATGGCTGTTACAGATTCAATGAAGGTACCAAGTTTAGGCTTCCTTATACATTGCTACCATCTAGAAGGGTTTCCTCAATATTTGTTCTAGGTAACTAGGAAATGTTGACATTTTGAAGACCCCATAACTGCATGTGCAAGTATTCATTTAAATTTCTCTAACATGTTTACATTTTAAGACAAATTAAACTTCAGTCAGCTTCTAATCAGGAAAAGTTAGGAAATCTTCAAAATTCTGTCTTTCTCTAAAAATATGTCTGAGATTCAGAAATCATACAGTATACACACAACTCACCCCATGATTTCCAGTAAAGTGGCTTAAAATGAAAATCACTAAAAGTTTAGATTTTATTTCTTTTTTCTTTTTTTGGTTATTTTGAGACAGGGTTTCTCTGGTAGCTCTGGCTATTTGGAATTCACTCTGTAGAACAGGTTGGCCTGGAACTCAGAAATCTGCCTGCCTCTGCATCCCAAGTGCTGGGATTAAAGGCATGCGCCACCACCACCAGGCCAATTTTATCTGTTTTTAAGGAGACTTGAAGTACTACAGAGTATTGTTTTCTCTGAAGCGGTGTAGTCACAATCATGTCACTAAACACTCTAGGCCATTTCTCTTGAGGATTTCCCACAGAAGAAGAAAAGAGGATTATACCAACCATACAGTTAAGAAATACATACCAAGATAAAGCAAAACAAAGGGTCTATTTCCCTCCACCACATGCAATCTAAATTAGTGGTAGGGGAGAAACATCAGCTCCAATCACAAAGAACAAAATTGATTTCAATGAACAGGAGTTAATTAATAATTGGGAACCCACAACATTTTCCTGTCTACATTTAAGGACAAACAGAACTTTCTCTAAATCACATGATATGCAATTCCTGCTCACTGTAAAACTTTGTGGATACTGGCCTTAATTTCCTGAAAACCCTGAGTCTTTCATGCAAAGCTTACCTTGAAAGTGAAAAATGACCAAAAAGTAGAAAGAATTCCCTGGATATTGTTAAAGACTCAGGATGGTGATGATGACCTCTGGTTTTGAGCCCTGGCCCACACCATAGCTTAAGAGTTTCTGTAGTTTTTGCCTTTCTCTAACAGGTATCATTTCAATAGACTTATTGTTGTTCATGTTGAAGAAAGTACTGTGAGATCAAAGGGATGCTGGGAATTATAGACTGCCTTTTCCCCTTTCTCCCCTATCAGCAAGAAAAGGCTCTCCTACCTATATCATGATACAGAAAGACCACACAGAGATTCATTTCAGTAGACTCATGACAGGAGTTAAGGTTTTATGAAATGAGTTGAGACCACAGAATGCTAAAGAAACAATGCCAAACCCTTCCTGCTGTGAGGTTAATCAAGGTTAGAGCTACTTGCATGTTCTGGAGGATCAAGAAAGTTAACCTAATGAGCCTGATTGGAAACTACATATGAACACATGACATTTCCCGAAATCTTGTCTATGAACCGATACCACTGGTCACTGTGCATTTGTTTCCCATCATGATGCTCTGTCAGCATTGAGCAGACCTTATTCCAGTATAGTGTTTGGAGATTGTTAAGTGTTGGACATTCTCTACACATTTCATTTCAGACTTACAAAACTCAATGCCAGATATAAAGATGAAGTGACATCTTTTGGTATTTATTTATAAATCCTTTGGTATTTATTTATATCCTCTGCTGTAACCAAGACCTGTTTCAAACACAGGCTTGCACTGAGAAGGAGAAATGATGCCTAGATGCTGCACACAGCCAGGTAATGCATAGGGATGTGGAAGTAACTGAAAAGAACTACAGGTCCACAGCCTCAGGAGCCATTCCAAAGATGATGAAACATTAAGATGCTAGGCCCAAGAGAGGTCCTATAAGGACTTAACCACACTGATTTCTATCCTCTACTTTTGAGATTCTATTTATTTATATTTAAAATTTCTTTGGATTCTTCAACTACAAAATTACTAATGTTTAGCATTGATTTCTTTATTAGGACACACATTAGTAAGGTGGCAATTGTGGATTTAGTCATATCCTTCAGTTAGCTTTTCTGGGCTGCCTGAGTGGTGGCAATGTCATAAGGTCTGTAGCCAGTGTGCACACAGGTATATAGTGATTTCTTCTTTAAACACCATGGTCAGACACCATTGTAATCTATTACAATGGCTTTATGTTTTTGATTAATGAAGATTTAAATGTCACCAATAATAAAATGGCCTATGTGCCCTCATATGAAATCTGTGTTCCTAGATACTCTGTTTTCTGTATCCACAAACTCATTCATGAGTTTAGCTATGTATTGTTAATAGTTTTCTTTTTGCTTGTGGGTACTTTTCACATTAACTGTCCCAACTTCATCAACCATTTCCTAGAACTGGTAAAATTTCAAAAATGGGGAGAAGAGCTAGATACAAATAAAAAAGAATTCCATTTAACCAACAATAATATTTGCATGCCTGTTCTCTGTCATTTTCTAATTTAGAACCTCACACTGAGGAGTTATATTCCCACCTTATTTTAAATACTTTCTCTTTACTTTGGTTTCAGTGGCATTCCAAGCAGCAATTTTAACTCAGCCAGGGGGGGTCTCCGAAGGTCATCAAGAAGGCCTAGTTTCAGAACATTGTTCACTCCAAAGGGGACACAGATGTTTAAGGTTACAAGTGAGTGAGAATCAAGCTTCGGTGATTCCTTAGGCAGGGGACAAAGAGATAATGCTGCTCTGGAAGTAAATGGACCAGGCATGAGAAGGGGCATCTGTGGAGATTTCTGCTTACCCCTTGTTCAGATTCCAAAAGCTCTGTTTTGACTCTGACTGCCGGCATCCCATCAAGCATTAGCATTCTGTTCTCAAGGGTGTTGAGATTCTGAGAATAGAAGAGAGAGGAAGATTCAGTGCTGAAGTACCAGAAGAGGACATCTCCGGGTGGTCTTCCTTCATCCTCAACCCTTCAGTACTGCTAACCTAATTCTGTAAGAACGGAGCATAATTGAATGAGAATAGCAGCATAACCAATTGTCCCCCTATCTGAACTTTCATTTGAAATAATGACTGGGAAGTTGACTGAATCAATGTGACTCTCTGACCTCTGGGTTGGAGGTCAGGCTGTAATAAACTGCAGCATGGAAACATTACATTAATTTATATGAGGCTGGAAAATTTATCGTACCTTCTCAATAGTGGGAGGAAATACATGGCAAGGTTCTTTCTCTCACCCTTAGTTCTCTAGGCTGTATTGTGTACAGACATTCTTTAGACTCTTGAAGTCTAAATAATCTAAAGACAAAGTAATACAAACCTAGATTTGTTTAATTATTTTTGTACGATGCCAATTCTGAGAAAATGAAAATTCCTATAGATCAGCCTCCACGGAATTATCTTAAAACAACCAACACAAGTTTGAATTTAAAGTGAGCAGCTAAAAGTCATCGATAAGCAGCATTTTGTGATCATTCTCATATGTGTTTTGCACAGTTTACTGCCTCTGAAAGGAAAGCCACATTGAAACTGCCTCAACAGATTTCGAGTGTTGTTGAGAAGATGAAATCAAGTTGAGATTTCACTAGTTCTCTCTGCTTTAGACATTTTCTGAATCAGCCATCTACAAAGACAATCAGAAAGTCACACATGAGGGGCCCAAATTAGACTTACTATAAAACACATTTCCAATATGTCAACTTCAACTTGCCATGCTGCCTAATCTCAGAAGCTGACATGGCTGAACATGAGGTTTCAGCATAGTCAATGTGCTCAATGGCCTTACAGAGAAGGCATGACAGACACTAAGAGATCTTACCGAGTGGGTATATATAGATGTACGTGTATGTGTGTAATAAAAAGCATTATACACATACATGTATAAATGTTTCATATACAAGTATAAAAACATACTCTCACATACGTGTATAACTTGTTTCTTATGGGTGAATTTTATCAATTAATGAAAAATGTACCACAAAATTTGTTAGTCGGCTATTATACCAAATCTCTGTGTGTGCTTATATATATAAAACAGTTGCTAAATATTTGCCTACAGGGTGACAAAGGTTAGTATCATTTCCAGAGTTTGATGTTTTCACTTTTCAGGCAGCTGGTTTTCATGAAAACAGTTCACTAAAAACCCCATCCCAACAACTCGCAGTTGGATATTTTATTAGCAAATTCTACCAACGAGGCACAGTACAGTGAAGCGCTCCCAACTTCCCAGTCCTTGACTCTCTATGAGAACACTCTAAGAAGCACAACTTAGGTCCTCTCATCACAAATGTTTTCTCTCAGAAAACAAGAAGAAAAAACACTAATTCTCAGTCGTCAGAAGCTTTGAAAAAGTACACATCCCCTAGACTATTCCAATTTCCTGTCATATTTTTCTCTTGGAAATGCACAACATTGTCCCTATTTGTGGGGTCTTTCTCATCCTAGCAGATCCTCACAGAAGCAGCTACAATGTTGCCCAGCATTGCTGGTGAACTCAATTAACTTCTTCCAGACTTAAAATCTTTCCTTCCAGGCCTGAGGTTGTTGACACATGAGGCCTCATTCTCAGAGGTGTCCCTTGCTGCCCCGTTTGCAGTGCTACCCGCTCCTCTGGGGGATGCCTTGGTGCAGCTAGGAAGCTCTCCACGACCCCTCAGCTTCTCCCAGCAGCTCTGGGAATCTCCCCGAGCAAAGCCTCCCAAGGCGGCTTGGTTGGGAGGCAGTTTGAAGGATGAGCTGACACTGCTTCCTACCCTGGAGCAGGTCTTGCCCAGAGGAGAAGGATAGAGGAAGCCTTATAAGAGAAGCCTGGCCCATGCTGGAGAGAGGACAGGAAAGTGCCGGAAAGGGAGGTTTAATGAATTGTTAGAATCTGAGTAGGGGCTTATGCCCCTTTTAGTGCTCTGGACCAATATACAGCGGGTATACTCTAACCACTGTCCCCACTCTCTCCACTAGCTGGGATAAAGTCCTGAGTTTAGAAAATGCAAGCTAGCCAGCGTTTTGAAGTTATGAGCTAGTAAGTCATGAGAACCTGCCTGGGTCCTGGGTCCATGGTCCATTTAGCACATTTAAATCTCTGTATTTTCACAATGTTTATTTATTCTTTTCATTGCTGGTCTTGAAATCCTACAAATATTCAAGTCAAAATGTACACTTTAGCTTCATGTAAGTGAAAAAGCCCCACAGTTTTTATTATTATTATTATTATTTTAATGAAGTTGTTTTCCTTGGGAATAACCCCACTTTGCTTTTCCAGGACCATGCGCAGCTACAACCATGAGAGACACCATAAACAGCCATGGGCACAGCTGGGTAGCACAGCCTCCTCGGCTAAGATCTTTCAGTTAGCGCAGTAATTGATAATTAGTGCAGATACATTGCAGCACACACACTTGAAGCATGGTAATCTCTGCACCCAGGATTCCCACCCCACTTAACAGACTCGGAAGCACTGAGGGCCCCAGCCTGTTGAACCATCAGGAAGGTGCTGGGGGAGGGGATGCAGCACAGAGTAACCAGAAAGCTCTGGCAATATTGCCCTTCGAAAATATTGGTAGATTTATTCAGTGCATAAGATCAGAAACATGGGATGTTAGTTGACTGTAGATTTTAAATAGGTAATCATTTCTGACAGTTTGAAGTTGCTGTCAAACATGGCTGGCTATGATATCAGCAAAAATATATTTGCTACGGAATCAATAACTCCACTGATTCCCAGGAGGTAAATAAAATGGTACCACCACCAATCACGGTGTCCTGGTGCTATCCATGTACTTACATTGTAATCAACATTTTGATATTATAAGTTCCTCAGAATAATTCATACTATTCATATATTAAGATATAATCATACATAGGGCATATATATATCTTGTTTCTTATGAGTAAATTTTATCAATTAATGCAAAAAGTACCACAAAATTTGTTAGCTGACTATTATAGGAATCCAAGTGAACTTAATGAGAATGTTACTTTGGATATTTCCACACTCCAAGTAAGACTGATTAGTACTCTAACACATGACAGTTTTCTTGGTCAGAAGTCATATGAGTACAGAGGTGACTGGTCTAAACACCTCAAAATACTCAGAATTAAGGTGCAGCAAGAAAGACTGATCTTCAGTGACAGTGATTCAGACATCCATGTAATGGAGGTGGCTCCCTGGGTCAGCTTCCACAGCCTGCCCTCTTAACCCACAATGCAGGCTTTTCCCTCTCCTCCTGGCTGTGTGTCAACTGGACTAATAAAGGCCTGGCCAATCAGTACTGGACTATTTAATTTCTATATCAGATTGCACTTCTGAAACAGAGAGGTCCTAATGATACTTGTTTTGTTCTCTGAAAATACAGGACATATTTGATTAAACATATATATCTTCTTCAAGATATGTATGGCTGTGGGTGAAGAGACCTCAATCTTGTATCCATATCATGTTGAACAGTGATGTCAGGGACTGATGAGCAGTTTAGGATGCACCGCACCAGACTGCTGCCATACCTTTGTAGCAAATTCTTACAGGTTTCCAAGGCAAGCATCCTAGACGGCTCGCAGTACCATCCACTGGGTACCTCAGCCATCAGTTAAAGTAATAGAATCAGATTACAAGGAACTTGAGCTTCTGCATAAAAGAAGAGCTCAGAGGAGGTGACCTCTCCGTTCTTGTCTGACTTCTACTACATTATCAAAAATATAAAATAAAAAAAAATCACAACAGAATTTGCTTTCCTAAATCTTACTATAGATATGTTGATTCAACTAATAGGTAGACAATGATTCCAAAACCTTTGCACAAACTCAAGAGACTCCACCAGGTCCTCCTTCTCTTTCTGGGTAAAGGATTCTCACACCTACTGGGTTAGAATAGTGCTTGTGCATAGGTAACAATTTCAATCAGCTATTACTATATAACACATCACACAGTGCAATGAAACAAGCATTTTCTCATCACTCTGAGAAATGCCTTCTAGTTCATCTTTCCTGGAGACCAGATACTGTGCTAAGAGCTGTGCATAAGGATGCTCATTTATTGTCCACACTGATATGAGAGAACGATGCTACCACTATCTAAGGCTGAGATATCAGAGAAACAAGGAATTAGAAACTCCTGAGGTCCCACAGTTAGTCATTGGCACAGTACTGTAAACCCAGTGAGTAACCCCAACTTAGGCCTTCTCAATGACACTCTGTGTAACCACCCACTTATGTACTTCCCTGCCTGTATATCTCCCTTATCAATACATGCAATCTATTCACAAATGTAAAAAAAAAATATGAGCATCTTATTGAAGGTCCAATGAAAGTGGCTTTAAAGTCTCCATCCCCATTTCTCCTGAGGCTCAGCTGACTTAGTCATGGGACTAGAGTGAAACTTTGTTGACTGGCAGCATCAGTATTTTAGGGAATATTAAGTCGAACCAGCTCCTTGTTGGAAAGCTGGTTCACACTTCTTGCTGTGAAATTGTTCAAACATATTTTTAGCTCACTGAGATTATGTCTCGATCTGCAAATGCCTCAGACTTCATTTAGCCAGTTGGTCCCAACCTGGCTTCAGCATCTGGGAACACTGTGTAATCCCATCTGCAATGCTTTTTAAATACATTCTTGGTGGCTTGCTCTCTATTTTCACAATACAGAATGCATTTAGGTGATAGGGTAATATCGTATTATGTATCTTATACACAGGACATATGCTCACTGGAATTATATTTCAGTTATAATTGCTAAGATTAACAGTAAGTGTGTATTTGATGATGCTCCCATATCCTCATTGGTAACTCAGTTTTGTAGAGGACATACTGATACCCAACATACCTGAAGGGACACAGAATAAACATTTTAAACTGACACTTTTCCCTTTTAGCTTCTAGCCCAGCTTTCCATATTTTA